TCTGGATAACCAGTTTTCTAGAAAACCGAGTCTTCAAGAGCATTGGGGTAAATCCTTTTAGGCTTTTTACTATCTCGATATAGGCTATCGATCGAAGCCATTCCATGGAATATTTTTGAAACAGTTGCTCCTACATCATATCCAATAATGAGTATCCAAGAGTGGATTAATTGTTTTGATAGCAATGCATTTTCATCATTCAGTCATATGATATGAAGATATAATATAAATCTGCTCACATAGTTTCGGTTCAACAAAACTTTTGTTCGTACGGATGCTTTTGCAAAGAATACGTTTATAAACATACAGGTGGACTTACAATTGCGTTTGGCTATCATGTAATCTCAAAAGATCGTATACCTTTAGGACCAAAAAGACGTGATAGACCAAAAAAATCTGGTCTTGCTCTACTTTTTTGAAATATCATATATATTTGTATTCTCTATTCGGTTTTTCGTTTCATAATTCTGACCGTTCTCTAATCACTCCAATTTGACCATAAATAGGCGGCTGTTCTCTTTTTAGCCCTAATTCCGTTCTCTAAAAAATCCTTGTTCGGAATTGACTATCACTAATAAGTAATCAATTTTGACATTAATATTTAAAAATCAGAAGGATGTTTCATCGAGATATAAAAAGTCAAATATACAGAAAAAGTATCCTGCAGACAAGTTTTCCAGTTTAGATACAGACATTATAATAGAAACAGATGTCATGAAAACATCCTAGACATAGGACTATTTATATTTTCATCCATTTACAGTTCTGAGCAAAACATTGCATTTCAAAAATTTCGTAGAAATTTCGGCTTCAGATTTTAAACTGCATACATTGTTCCTGTTGGGTACTTTCAGTGATTAATTTACTTGCTAAAGAGTATAATTCATCCATTTTAGTTATGTAGAAAACCTTATTTATAGAGAACCAATCCGATCCAGTAGCATACATTCTATCCGACAGGGACCTTTTAGTATGCGAAAAGCAACACGGGAGTGAATCACCGTATTAGATTGCCATGATACCACTATCATAACAGTACCCTTCTACGAAATTTTTGCAAATCCAAAAAATACTATTTTAGTTTTTAAAAGACAAAAAGAAAACGATATTATGAAATATTCAACCCATCACTTAATTCATCGCAAAAGTTTGATGCTCATTGTCTTTTTCTAAGTAATGATCTACCATATCAAGGAACGCACTGTTCTAGAGATAAATTTCGGATCCCTTCTCGTTACTACTCATGAAATTGCGTATCGCATTCACGTAGAAGAAAAACGTCCCGAATAATTTCTTCCACTATTACAAGAGTATTACAACATCAAATCAGATTTGATGCTACTAAATCCACATAATTCTCATTACTTTATGCGAGCCGCTTCCAACAAATTCCAGGACCCCTTTCACAAAAAAGGATATGACACTTAGATTAATCATATTCCAAATAATGATTAAGAGCTGTCATTTTATTTAGAAAAAACGTTTTACTGGTTAGTAGTATCCAATTTAAGAACCATGTAAGTCAAGCAGAAAACACTTCGTACAAAATTAAAATAGGCTAAACGCATATATCCCTAGACGCATTTCAAAAACAACGAAGCGTTTTGAAGAAACATTTTCGCTGGCTAAGTTGTTCAGGATAATCCTCTCCATATGCTAAGCGAAGCACTTCTTTCATTTTAGTGGGAAATTTTTGAAAGAAATTACAAATACTAAAGTTTGAGCTTTAAATTTACCTAAAATTGATGTAAATTGCATTTATTTCGAAATTTCCTCACTAAAATGAAAAAAGTGCTTCGCTTAGCATATGGATAAGATTATCCTGAACAACTTAGATAGCGAAAAGTTTTCGTGAAAACGCTTCGTTGTTTTTGAAATGGGTCCATAAGCCGTGTACGAGATAATGAAAAATATCGAACTTCCATGCAAGAGTGATTTCACGTAACATAGGTTTTTGAACTTTTTCGAAAAACAATCACATTGCCACGAGACTCAGTGCGATAGATAACCCATGTTTTCATTCATTTTCGAGATTACCACGCCTAAGGAAATATCGATCCTGGAGCCTCGAGGAAATCCGATGCCACGTCTAAACCTCGAAAGGTTAATAGGTTGCTTAGTTCTCATTTGGCAGAGGGCATTTTAGACTATCATACCTATATGAGAAACATAGAGGACGCTCTGGCAGATCTTGGAACCACGACCTATTCTTTTAATGACTGATAAGGTATACGACCTGTATGTGGTATTTTCCGAGAGATTTTTAATGTCATGTTGTAACTAATTATCTCTTCTATGCAATGCTGAAAATCGCAAGTGTTCGAAATGCATTGTTCAAAAGTTATTAAAGAAATAGCCACCGGCATTCTTATTTAACAATCTACTGGCTTTTAATTCATATAAAAGCCTATATATAAAAAATGTCGAAAAAACCCTAAATCCATGACAAATTGAAAAACAGAATACAGGATTTTGTAGCGCTTGAGTAGCTGATTTAAATGATATATTATTCGTTATATTTGAGCAAAAGAGGTTGAAGAAAAAAAGAATGCAAACGACCAGACTACAGTGAACTGTCATCAATTTTAGAGAAAAAATTTATAAAAAGTCTATAAGATAGAAATTTTTTCTTCCTTTTTTACATACACAATAACTGTGAATAATTGAACATCCAAACATACTTGGACTAAACTTTTTGCCATTATTCCTGAATGACTTATGTGATATCTAAAATCAGTCGTTAGACCTGAAAATTTTGAACAAAGCCCAACGTTAAAAAATTCATAATTTGATCAATATTATAGGATCGCCGAAATTTCTTGAAGATACATAGTACTCTACGTACTCTACAAACTGGTATAATTTTAGGTCAAAGTTGGGAGTGGTTAAACCGAGCTCAATAGAGACGGTTCCCTGCGTCTTAAAATGTAATTATGCGATTGCTGTTGATTTACTTTCTATTACACGTTCCGTTATTGCATTTGCATATGGAACGCTGTGTCAAGAAATGGTTATGGTGATTCTTCATTGCTGTGAATAATAAAAGGAAATGGACAGCCAGCCACAAATATGATGAATAATTTGGCAGCATAGAGCTTTTCTTCATGAACATGATACTTGAGGATCGTAGCGGATAATTTTCTGATCTTCCCTTCTTGTCAATAATAGAACATAATTAGGAAGAAAGAGAATGTCGTAAATACTGTGTGGCGCCAATGTCATATTCCAGTTGGCAATTTCCACACCCGACCAGTCATAAATACGCAAACCAAATGTACCAATAACGTACCAAACTCTTCCACACCCGTCTACTGTTAAATGGGCGCCGGCGGAATTTCCCGTAGCATTGACAAACGATTTATATGTCCATGTTGAATTTTGATAGTTATATGACACAATGTATCTATTAGTCCATGTTGAGGCATACAAGAATGTGTCGTTAACCTTTGCGAGACCGTGAGCGGCAGGAAATGGAAATGGAATGAGTTTCTAAACAAAATAGACAAGAAGAACGTGCGCTTTTTCTTCAGCAAAAGAGAATCGGATTATTCACCTGGAATGTATAGTTCGTCGGAGAATTGACATTAAACACGGCGAGTGAATTAACAGCTTGAGCTGTAGCAATCAGCGTTTCGCCATTGTTGATAAAGACATACTTGCGCGTCTGTGTCAAGCTCGCATGACTAATATTGATTATCTGATTATTCGTTTGACTATCGAACACGTTAATTGCAGGATGTGAATCTAGACCCGTGAATATTGAATTATTGTGTAATGAAAGGCTCAAGCTGGTCCAGATCGAACTATTTCGAATAAACGCCAGATTCATCGGATTGAACCAGTATAGCGAACCCGTAGTCCATCCGATAACGGCTGCTTGATCTGGTACTGTTTCATCATAGCCAAAGGCAGCCGGTTGAAACGTAAGATTGATCATTGTCGGCGTGACGCTCTGTAATAGAACAAGAAGTTCAGTCGTGTTTGGCATGCAACAGATGCTCGCATTTGGAAATATGCGTTGAAGAAAGTAGAGTTGAGCTCCGACGAGCGGTTGGAGCGTGTACGATGTTGGAAACGTTTCGAAGAATTGACATGTCTTATTCGTAAAACAGTTCAGTGCAAGATAAGTAGTGCTGTTTCCGAAAACTAGGAATTCGCAAATGCATTGCTGACATGTACTGTTGAGGCGTACAGTTGCGTTCAGATTCGTACTTGCAAATGGCTGTAGAAAAACGTCTTGAATAAACGGGATAGATACAGCAGTAATCTTGACAACGAAGTGAGGAAGCAAATAGACGATTGCGATACGCATTTTGTTACTATTGATAAAAAGCAAAGGAAAACCAGTTGAATTTTTTGTGTGACTAGTATCTTGTTAAAGAACATTATGTATGAGGCTGTGCAATTACAAATTCTCGGCATCAATCGAGATGAAGTAGAAAAATGACATTTGTTTACTCTCCCTTCTATAGTCAAAAGTAAATTGTAAAAGTTAAACAACAGTTCGATGCGTTGTCATGTATCTACTTAAATATTTGATGAGAGAAGAAACAAGTGTTTGTCCTTTCTATATGTATACATGTACGCATCTACTCAGCATTGCACGACTAGTCAAACATAAGGTTCAACCGGATGTTTTTCTACATCATCTTGATTGATGGTGAGAAATTGTAATTGTACGGCTGCATATATAGTGTCATAAAAATCTGATAAGTGTTTGTCGGAAAAAGTATACATAGCAAGTAAGAGTTGACTTTGTCACTTACGAGTCCTAAGTTGACTGCATACGTGTACACATTGAAAAATCAATAATTCGATCTTTGAAGAATCGAACTTTTCGATTTGGAATCATTTAGCCATGCTCCTCCGACGACTATCAACTATTGACCAGCCGACCAGTCGTCCCGTTTCATATGGGATCTGCCCCTCCTTCCGCTTAAGGGTGGGTCGTTCACCTACATGCACCAACGTAGAACAGTATCTTGACTTTTTTTGTTTCGGGACATTAATGATAGCGATTGTTTGGAGTTCAAATCGAGCTAGGTAAATGTGTCTTTTTACCGGCTTATCTACTTTTGAACAGAAAAAGCTAGAATCATGGGGATCCCAGTATTCGATAGAGAACACTTTGGAAAGCAAATCTATGGAAAAACTAGGTTCCCGTACAGGTCTACCATGGTCTACCTTTCAAAAGAAAATGTGTGCGTCTGGCGTTCCGAAGGACTACATAGTAAAGTACTATTCAACTGTCCTTTTTATTCTGTTCGCTGCTGTCAGACATACTGCTTGTCGGCTTGTCCACGTGACGCAACACTTCGCTGGTCAAGTTTTTTTGAAATTTTTCATTGGTAAATCGATAGGGGCACATCACTAGACGCATCTTTTCATGCTGAGCACGAGTCTGACTTTTCTTCTGAAGGAAAAGTTAATTTTCAATACATAAAAATTTCAATGTAAAATTTTTAAAAACTTTAATTTCGATTTTCTAACCCAGACATTTAGTTCAAAAAACTTTAACAACATCCCGTTAAACAGGGAATTCAATTCTCTACAAAATGGCTCATTTTGTTTTGAGATCTATGTTTCAGTCGAGACACAGCGGCTGCTTGAACGTTTCAACTTCCCTCTTGGTCTGAAAGCCTGAGAGGATTTTCCAAACTTTATTTGCCTGGAGCCTTTTCAGGATACCTAGAACTACACAGACTATAAATATGAAATTTCTTGAGCAACGTTTAGTGCCTATAAATGGTGCTACAGAAAAGTGTGTCACAGCGTTACTTTACAAAATCGATTTTTCTCGATTTGCGGAAGGATTTAGAAAAACTGTTTTTTACCCAAAAGGAAGCTCGTTAGCTATTCTACAAACTTGCCTCTAAAAACTTTTCAGATGTACATCTCAATACTCGAAAATCAGAGCTGTATCAGCAGTTCTCGGAAAACCGGGGCCTTTTCTGTCACAGCGTTACTCGCCGAAAAATCTTTTTGGAAGCTCGAGTCAAGAACCGAAAATCTTCATTTTTATATCGTAAGTAACTTAGAGTTTGGTGAGTTGCGTTGAATGGTGCAAGAACGAACTAGCTAGCTCCTACAGTTTTCGAGAAAAATGCAAAATACTGTATCAAAAATGTCAGCGTCACCTTTGGACAAGCCGTTCTGCCCAAGCAGACAAACTTTTTCGAAAACGCATTTAAGCGCACAAAAAAAGATGAAAAATCTAGAAAAAGTGGGCGTGTTTGGATGACAATCTGGGTTCCCGACTGTGAGCGAAAACGCCCATTTTTCCCCCTTCTGGTGCGTTTACACTTGGTGCATTTACACGCGTGCTGAAAACGCGTGTAAAAAAAGTGGTATTTTTTTTCATACTCCAGAACCCAAATTATTATCCCGTCACTGGTAACGACTATGAGAAGAACGACCGCTTTTTCCCTTTTTTTTATGCATTTACACGCGTTTTTGGCTGAAAACACGTTTAAACGCACTAGAGGGCGTTTTTCGCTCACGGTCGGGAACCCCGATTGTCATCCAAACACGCCCACTTTTTCTAGATTTTTCGTCTTTTTTTGTGCGCTTAAACGCGTTTTCGAAAACGTTTGTCTGCTTGGGTGATGGTATCACAAACCTTCAATTGTATTCAATTCGCAACGATATTTGGGACAAAATATAATTTTAATATTATATTCTGCACCTGGTTGCTCAAGTTTTGAAACCTGGAGAACAGCAGCTGAGATGTAGAACTTCAGCTCTCTCCGCAGTACAGTTTCGGCGTACAGAGTCCATATTTTGTAGTGCAATTATAAATCAAACGAGTCATCTGTTGTCACCATATGGAAAAACAAGTTTTTTATTATGATTTTAATTCGTCTATTTGAAGAAATGTAACTGTAATCGTTGTACAGTATCAAACACTAGATGAATTTATTTTTGCAACTCCCTCCAAAATTAACATGCAAAACTTATATTCTGTTAATTATACAATAAATGGTAAAAAATTAACTTATATATATGAGTTTAAAGAGCAAAAGTTTATTCTCTATTGTTGCCTATATTGTTGTAAATTTCATTCATTGTGATATTATAAGACTAAATATTTAGGTGAAATCAAATAGTGAATACTCTATAACCGCTTTTAGTTTATTTATTAATTTGTTTAATATGACTGATGTATTCATAGATTTATCTTTTCGTGAAGATACGTTCAATACTTTTGCTTATTCTTTACGAGGGAACATTTCCAGCTGTTCAACCTTTTCTTTTCACAGTTATAGAATTTGCAAGAAAAGCCCTGAATGTTCATTGTCAGCTCAAAACTACAGAAATAAGACGAAATCAATTTAGGGCTTTTCTTGTAAATTGTATAACTTTGCAAAGAAAGGGCGTGTAGAGCTGAGAGACGTCTCACTTTAATCAGAAATTTCCGGGCTACAGTCATGCTTTATTGAGAAACGTTCTGGTTATTCTTTTAGAGTTTCTGGAAAACCAGTTCTCTAGAAAACCGGGTTTTCAAGAGCTTTGGAGATAAATCCTTTAAGGCTTTTACTATCTCGATATAGGCTATCGGTCGATGTATATTTAAGGAAATCGGGGTTGGACAGCTGGGAATGTTCCTCGTTAGTGGCAATGCTAAGACATATGGTCAAATTAATTTATTATGAATAAATAATATATTATTGACCAAATCGATATTTATTATTCTCATTTGTTTCATGAGAAATGATTGTATTGTTTCTTAATCATTGATAAGATCAGCTCAATTGAGATTATAGCATACGAGCGATTTCAGGCTCGTTAAGAGAATGTTCTTTGCTATATGATAATCAATTACTATTGATGTAATCAGGAAAACACTTTAGAAACATACTTTATTACATATTATGCTGTTTATTTAGATCATTGGGGGTACAGACACAATTGTGTTAAACCGTCATGAGTTAATTATACAGAACGCTCTATTTTATAAAAACAATGATATCTGTAAGCACTTCTTTTTCTCGTAATTGTTAAATATTTGAGTTGCTTACATTTTAGCAATAGAATAAATGGCGGTATCAGTATTTTCTCAATGTCTGTTTTCAGTTTTCATCACCTACACTTTGTTCTTCTTCAAAAAAAATTCCTGATTTAATCCTCTACACAAAGCATATTCAACATCTTGTGTAAAACTATAGAGGAAATACAGTAAAGATTCAATCTCTATTACTTTCAAACCCAAAGCGCAACCAAAATATATTTATTTTGAACACACATAGATTTTACTAAAAAGGGAAAACAAAAAGAAAGATTTGATTTCTTCGCTTCACACACGAAACGAAATGCAGCTATTCGACTTTCTCTCTTCGGATGTAACAGAAGAATTATTTTGCTTTAAAATAAACCTGTCCCGCCGTCATAATGTGTGGTTTTGAGCGAATCATACAAATTTTCCAGGTACCTCAAAACTACAGTTCGAATTATTTTTCGAAAATTCTGGATTAAAATGAAAATAGTAGAGGAAAATGTTCTTAGCGATAAAAATGATATGAAGTAGACAGTAGACCATGTCGAATCAGTAAGAGAGTTCTGTGAAGCTGGCTTCTTCCTCTGTGCGTGCAATTGTAATATGTATACACATTATTTTTTATGAGAGACCGAAATAGGGCTTCAAAATAAAACGAAGGTCCACGTCCGGACGTATTTTGCTAGTAAAATGACGTAATCGTGTTTTGAGTACATCTGTCTGTCGTACGACATACGGATAGACTCCTGCGGGACAGCCCCGAACCCCATCCAGTCTGTCCGGTTCCGTGGAACAGACGGGGTCGGTACAAGTTGCAGAAAAATGTTGTTCCGTAAGGTTTGTCTTTTGATTGTAATTATACTGCAGCTTCAACTGTTTAATTCTTGTAATACTATCAAGTCAGCGACAATTTTTAAAATAATTTCATGCTAATTGCAGCTAATTTTAGAATTTTATTCTACAAAAGTTGATGTTTCGACCATTCACGGTCATTGTCGGAAGTGAAAATGTACACACAGGACGTATAACGGTACCAAACGAACTGTACCATTTAGTATTAGTTCTTATGATGATATCAAGAGTGATTCTTTTATTAACAAGTTGTATTCGTGTTTCTCACTAGTCAGAATTTCAAAGTCATCTGGTGTAATCGAATGTACAGTCCGCTGATAATGTCTACCAATGGCCGACTTTGCCAGTACCGTTTATTTTGGATTATCCTTCATCAACATTGGGGAGAGGAGTAACTCATCAAGCTCGTCATCATTTAACTTTTCATCGCAGGGGGAAGTTTACCTGTTCTTGAACCGTGAATGGTCATGGTGGAAATATCAAGTTTTGTAGAATAAAATTCTAAAATTAGCTGCAATTAACATAAAATTATCAAGTCAAAACGGTTTTTTATAATAACTAATAAAAACTAACCTGGAGAGGCGAAATAGTCTGGATTTAAAGTTGAGAAGATGTTTCATATCTAAGACTAGATTCACAGTTCTTTCCTTTCGCTTCTGAGGTAGTGCGTGGATGTATCACCTGTCATAGGGATCTTTTGCAAAAATAAGTTTGAGACTTTAAGCTACGGTATATCACAACAGAAAAATATTTTCAAAAAATTACGGGACAAAAAAGCCCGTAAATTTTTTCGCAGGACAGACGGGTTCTGGATTACATTATTTACTAACAGGGTCGTGCTTACGGGACGGAACAATAATTTTTATGTTCGGGCTTGGGGCAACAGAAAAGTTCCTCCCACAGGACTCTACATACGGAAGCTCAACATAAATGTTATTTGTTTTCATTGTCTAGTGCTGTATTTTGAAGATACATAGTACTCAACGCGCTCTACAAACTGGCATAATTTGAGGATAGGTTTGAGGGTGGTTTCCCCCCTTAACGTAAATAGACATAGTGTAACTATTATAAAAGCATTAAGAATTATAAGACAGCCTTGTGAATGTAGCAACCCAATCTTGTATATTATCTTTTAATGTGCTGAAGTTCGGTAACTAGCTGCTCTAATAGTTTCACTTCTTACTTAAACAAGTACTAGATGAAAAATGAGATCCAACTGCCAAGAGTGCACTGACGCTGTTGCTGTTTTGGACGTCACAAAATATAAAGTTTTAAAGATAAAATACATGCGAGCAGGTAAACTTGCAGCAGCATAGCAATACACAGATAAAACAACTATGATTAATAGGTGGCATTTGTCAATTTACAACTGTGTCGGTGTTTTATAGTTGACTACAACCTTAAAGGCATAACGTTTCACAAAAAAAAAGTAATTTGACCGAAAAAAAAGCACTTGATCAAACAGTAATTTGGCCACACGCCTAATATCACTTGGCGAATTCGGCCAACTTGCTTCGACCATCTTCCGTTCTCCCAAATGTTTTTTCAACCATATGTCACGTTGCCTTATCTGCTTTTTTACAGTTTAAGAGTTACGCAAAAGAAATGAGAAGAATTTCTAAGAAAGGGCGCATTGAATAAATATCAAAATCAAGCTGCATCAAGTATGTGGAATTCGAACGTTTTAGTTCTTAGTCTTCCATATCTTCAGGAAAAACATCATTCCCAACTCTCCAGGGTTGATTTTCATTAAACTCTGCTCAGCATCACAAGAACGGAGACAGCATGGACCTGAAAGAAAGATGGAAAGTTAAATGGATTATCTTGCAACCAAGTGGAAAACTTGTCTTATATTTAGCAGTACATACCTGTGTTTTATCCAATAATTTAATATAAGATTGATCTTTATCAAACTGCGTAAAGGTAGCTGCTATACCATCATAATTTCGGACTATGTTCTGTTCAAGTGCCAATATATGCAGTAATCCGCTTAACCAACACACGATCGAACGCCTTACTAAAATCGAGAAAAATAGCTCTTGTTATTTGCCCTTTATCTCCATTTTGATAAATTGTATGAACAAAATCAATCAGGTGATTCACTGTAGAAACACCCCTAATGAATCCTGATTGCATACTCGACAACAACTTATTCGTAGTGAGATAGTGATACAAATGATTATATACAACGCGGTTAAAAACTTTACTGAGAATTGGTAAGAGAGTTATTGGTCTATAATTATTTGTACTAGAAGAATCGCCGTCTTTAAATAATGGATTGATATAACCTATCTTAAAGACGTTCGGGTATTCGCCTGTTTCTATTGACTGATTAATCATACTCGCTATGTAAACTGATGAAATTCTCTCAACAAGCGCGATGTTATTCCTGGACTGCTTGCTTTGTTTATATTTAATTTACTTCCTATCAGACGACGTCTAAAACGTAATTACTCCTATATGTGATCTTTTCCTGTGGCAATTTTTCTGTAGGTTGTAAGAGAATGAATCTTTATCCTAGCTTTCATGTAGTATATCACATCATCGTGAATTACTTTCATTAATTGAATTCGTCTCGAACAACGAGGACCACAGTTTCTTAATGACGGATCCGCAATTACTTCCTCGAATGAGGGATCCATCTTAGGCAAAACATAAACCAATGGAAATTTTTTTTTCATTCGTACACCTTAAGTAAAACAAACAAAAATTTGATAAAAGCACGTACTCTATCGATAGAAACGTCATCGTACCCGGTATAGACTCCTCATTTTCATCAACTTCCTCCTCATCAAATGAACCACGATCTCTTTTAGGAGTGACCAATATCATCTTTTAGTGAAATCTGAAAAAAGCTCTCGAAAAAGTTAAGAATATTTTACTGAAGAGTATTAAACTATCTGGCGGTAAAAGATGCCAGCTAATAGACCATACGGGAAGTTTTGAAAGCAATGTTTTAGTCGAATTATTTACTGAGAGAATAAAAAATCTTAATACAGTATAAAGATAACAATACTTACAAAACAAATCAAAAACAGAAATATATAGTACAACAGCTACTTTCAGTTTTAATATGCTATGTCAAAATGAGAAATTGATTGGTGTATTTAGAAATGAAATTAGTTTCTGACAAATTATGCCGAGCGTCTCAAATTTTTGTATTTATTCAAGTGAATTTTAACTGGCCACGGGTGATGATTTTTCTGTCACTGACATGGAAGAGAGAATTTTAAGAAAAAAGTGAACAGGAACAAACAGTCTAACGTCTGTTGAGATTTAACGTTTCCGCCAGTCGTGCAGCAAACGGATTGCTACAGCTGACCCGTCCGGCTTCATTCGAGCACTGCCATATAATGGGCAGGCACCAGGAAGATTCTTATTCACCGCACGTGTCTATTGCTATATTGTTCCGTTTTGTTTTAAGAACGAGTCGAGCTGTTCGGATCAGTTAGACCAAATCAGTTAGACTCTGACATGTTCAGCATTATTAAAAATAAAATAATTCTCTGCTCGATGTGTCAGAAACTCGTCAGAATGAAGAATTGTAAATTCCGCAGTCCTTCACTTCGTAGGCCCATAGATTTTCTTTAAATTCGTCTGTTTGCAGACATTTTGTATGAAATTTCCATTGATTGTCAAAATTTATGATATAGGAAAAATAGCTCCTGTCCTATAGCTAACTGAATCAAAGGTAGAAAGCTAATGGCATTGCTTTGCTGAAATTTGCTACTAACACCACTAGCTTTTAACATCGTTTCATCCATTAGCTCATAACACTGGCAGAGCTGAGTTCTTTTGGCAAGAGTGTACGGCAAATTAATAAATGAATTGCAACGTATTGAAAGTTGTTTCAGTACTTTGCGTTTAGCCTCGTATCTCATAGTCGTCTTTTTTAAAGCGCCGAATTTGGCGAGGTTTCTCGCTGAATGACAAAGAAAATGATGTTTCCGATAGAAATAATCAGGAAGAATTGTTTGACTCAAGTGCAAAAATTCAGAAATCAATTCGTTAAGATACGATAGCCATCGGCTTCGCGAGAATCTGCTGTAATTATATCCCCAATTTCACGAAGATGTTGATATAGAAACCAGTAAAGACTTCTATCAACATACGATAAAAATAAAAGGAAGATTGAGAAACAAACATAGCTTTTCACTAGCTATTCCTGGAACTCGATCAGTTTCTTTTAATGGAGGAGGCCTGTTTTGTTCATAACGATTTAAATATTTGAAAGTATTGACTTTTTCTTTCAATTCCGCCACAGTTAATAAATGATTTCTCGTTATTGCTTGAAAGAGGCAGATGGTTAAACTAGGCATGATTCCCTCCATAAAATCTATCTAAGAAAGATTGATTTAAAAAAAATGATAATATAATTATTTTAATGGTAATAATTGCAAGCAATTTTTCAACACTACATTCATACGCCTGAAATCCTTTCACTCCTTCATATGAATGTATGGCCTCGACAAATTCTGCAGCATTCGTTATATTATGTTTTTCGTTGAGATATCGTCGTACGTTTCCTTTTATGACAGCTACGTATCGATCACATGCCGATTTTCCAGCCTGTGGATCAGAAAAATCAATACGTAATATTTTAATTTTAGTTTTTTCAGATATCAGCGGTAACAACACGATTGTACCGGCAGAATGGTAACATCCTGCGTTATCTGCACGACAGTACGCATATTCTATCGATGGATCATCTGCTTTAAGACGTGTCAATACATCTTGAAGAATGGCAACGACAGATTCATTATCCTGAACACAATGATCCATAGCATGAACATAAACTGTATGAGTATAACTATTTTGTGCAGACATTTCTTCTTCCTTGCCCTCTTCGTCACTAGTTTCTTCATTCTCACTTTCATCATTACCCGTAGTATTCTTTGGCTGTGTGCTTTTTGTAGTAGCACTAGTTACTTTCTTCACCACCACACTAATATGGCATGATAAACCTCGCTTGGCGAAACATCTTCCTGTGACTCCATGTATTTTTCCGGAAGTCATTTCATCACCCAATCTGTTAGAATATAAACTGAATTGGCAGGCAGATCCTGTAGCAGTTCTTGCCTTGACAGATCCTGATTCACAGCTCGTAGCCGATGACATTTTCATACCTCAATGGCATCCGTACTCATTTTAAGTTAGCCAATTCACGATCTAATAATTCTTTGTCAGTTACTGAACTCTTTATCA